TAATTCAGTCTTAAGGGATAGACTTTTTTAGGAATTGTAAAGAGACAATATTTTATTGGTGATAGCCTTGGCTTCTACATTTTGAGTTTATTCACATCCCAATATAGGTTGCTAGAGTTTTTGTAAGTACTTTTAAACTTAGTAGCTGGTATTTAGAGTTCAGTATTAGGACCTGTCTTATTTGTGAGACATTATTGCACAGTGGAAGTACATCACATATTTACTATGTGATCCTATCCTCTCAGAGCTTCAGATTTCTCATCTGTAGAGCTGCAATATATAATAATGTATTATATAATAATGTGTACTGTTTACTCCCATGGTTGTTGCATTGATGCAGATATAGTACCCAATGTGGTGTCTGGCATAGTGTAGTTTCTGAGAAATTGCTGCTGCCATTATTTAGAAAGGAAATGTATGTATAATTTAAGGGTTCCAAAGTCCTCTAGTTGCAACTCATTTGTGGTTATGTCAAGTTCTGCTCTTAGCAGTTGTTTTCTTTGTCAGAGGGGGCATCCATTAGACAAGGCAATTTATTAAGACTGTTTCTGCGTGTATGTTCCTCAGAACGCAGACTCTTTGCAGCGTTAGTGAGTGTTAGGAGGGTGGAATGATAAGGAGGAAATTCATGGTCAAGTAAGTTTGCGAGCTACTTTGCCAAACAAATATCAATAGGGTTCTTCAGTGAAGCACTTCCCAAAGTTATTATTATCATAATATACAACGTATCAGGGGCTGTTTGCTTGTTTATCTAAAAGATCACATACTCCTTTTTCTCTGAAAACATGCTTTGGCACATGCTGCTTTAAGATAGCCATCACTGTACACACCTGCTTTAGGTCCCTTCTTAGGAGACAGCTTGAAGTAAGCAGTCAGCATGTGTCAGTGCGGCTACTGGGGACCTGAGGAGCCGGATGGGTGGGAAACAAGACTACTGGGAATGCTGGCCCGTGACTTTCTCTGTTTTATGTTACAGCTCATGCCCAGACCTACGATTTAGCATGGCCCTGTGTGATCAGGAGAAAGTTTTCAGACAACAGAGAAAAGAAAACATAAAGGAGAAAATGAAGAAACTCTTGGGTCCAAAGAATAGTGAAGGATTGTATTCTACACGTGATGTGAGTCTGCCATTTTTTGAGTGTTAGTGTAATTTAAAAATAATTTTGCTGGGTCACTTTCTCTAAAGATTTTACCCAAATATGGCAATATTAAATTTGAGGATTATTCCTTCAGCTTTTTAAGGTAAGGTAAGCAGTTCATAAATCACAAATCTTTGAGGAAGGTCATCCCAAATGCTCCCTATATTTGGTAATATTATCAGATATAGTTTTTTATATTTATTTTTGCTTTATATTTTAGAGCAGTGTTAGGTTCGCAGCAAAACTTGGCAGAAAGTACAGAGAGTTCCCATATACCTCCTGCCCCCACACAACCTCCCAGTATTAGTCAGAGTTCTCTAGAGAAACAGAACCAAAAGGACATATATATGTGTATATATATAGTACATATGAGGAGATTTATTATGGGAGTTGACTCATGAATATGGAGGTGGAAAAGTCCCATGATATGCCAACTGCAAGCTGGAGAACCAGGAAAGCCGGTGACACAATTTAGTCCAAGGCAAAGGCTTAAGAGCCAAGGGAGAAGGTATATCTCCCACTCTGAGACCAAAGGCCTGAGAACCCGGGGCAGTTGGAAGTGGGTGAGTGCCGATATAAATCTCAGAGTTCGAGGGTCTGAGAACCAGGAGCGCCGATGTCCAATGGATGTCCCAGCTGCAGGAGAGAGAGAGAATTTGCCTTTCTTCCATGTTTTTGTTCTACTCAGGCCCTCAAAAGATTGAATGATGCCCACCCACATTGGTGAGGGCAAATTTTCTTTACTTAGTCTACTGATTCAAGTGCTAATCTGTTTGCAAAACACCCTCATAAACAGTCCCAGAAATAACGTTTTACTAGCTATCTGGGTATCCTTTAACCTAGTCACATTGATAAATAAAAATCACAATCTTTGACTATCAACATCCCATACCAGACTGGTACCTTTGTTACAAAGATGAACCTACATGGACACATCATTATCACTCTAAGTCCACAGTTTACATTAGGGCTTACCCTGGTGTTGTACATTCTATGGATCTGGACAAAGGTATGATGACATGTATTCACCATAACAGTATCATACAGAGGAGTTTCACTGCCCTAAAAATCCTCCGTGCCCCACCTAATCATCTCTCCTTCCTAACCCCTGGCGACCACTGATTTTTTTACTGTCTCCATAGTTTTGCCTTTTCTAGAATGTCAAATGGTTGGAATGATACAGTGTGGAGCCTTTTCAGGTTGTCTTCTTTCACTTAGTAATATGAATTAAGGTTCCTTCACATCTTTTCCTAGCTTGAGAATTCATTTTGTTCTAGTGCTGAATAATATTCCAGTATTAGTCAGAGTTAGTCTGTATGTGCCACAGTTTAGGTATTTTTTGATATAGTTTTTTAAATAGGTATAC